AAAAAAAAAAAAAAATCTGTCTCAAGTTGTTCAGTTCCACCTCAAACCTTCCTACCCACCCAGCTCTTTCTTTCCCCATCTTATCTTTTTTGGAGCCTGCAGGCACCACAGTATATCTTGGAGGTAATATCGTGACTTCAGGGGTGGTTTGACAGATTGACCGCATTCGTCACATTCCCTGGTCTTTTTAATTGCCCTGGCATCTGCTTGGCTTCCTTGTTGTCTCACCCCCACCTCCCTCTCTGCTCCTCCTCCTTTTCCTCCCAGGGATCATGCTCTCGGGTCAGACTGCTGGCATTTAGGGTCGCAGAGTAATCATGGGCGTGGAGATAATGCACAGTCCACCCTGGAGTTAAGAAAACAGCTTACACTCCATGTTTGCCCCCCACCCGAACACACACACACACACACACACACACGCACACACACACGCACACACACCTTTCTTCTTTTCCCTCCCTCTCCTCCTTTTCTCTTCACCTTCAGGCTCCTTCTTTTCCTGCAGTAATGGTTTCAGTGGCCTCCTGATTTGCGAGTCTATTCTTGTTTAGCCTCTTAGTAAAGAGGACACAAAGGCCATGCCACTTTTAGCAGGCAAGCGAGGAGTCCATGCATGCGCTACAGGAAGATGTGAAGCTGCATTGGTTGCCAAACGACATGTTATGTAGCTAATGAACAGTGTAAAAAGAGGTGTGCAAAGTTTATCATTAGAACATTTTGCAAAAGTTTCTACTGCAAGTTGGAAAACCGCTCTGGTGCATGCGAGCTGAATAAAAATAAACATATTTTCTTGCTCACGTTCGTTGCATGAAGCCATTCAGACATTTAGTTTTGGTTTGATTTGTCTAAATTCAGAGGTAACTGCTTATTCGCAAGAGAAAGAAAATTGAAAGCTGTTGACAGTAACTGCTCCTATCTACATGATTTATGCACATGTTAAGCACTTGAAAAATTCTTGAATGAAAGTCCAAACAAATCCCCACAACTGTATTGCAAGATGTTTTTGTATCAACTGCTAAAAAAATATACAGGGAATGTACAGTACAGTAAACAGTAATGTACCGTCTTTTGTAAATACAGTTTGGTACTTTAAATGCTAATACCTTTCAGGAAAAAATATTCATTCATATCAATATATAAATATTAATACCCTATTTTCTAATTTTTAGTTAAGTCAGACTTGAGTCTCACTGTGATGCTTTAGTACAGCGGTCCCCAAACCCCGGGCCTCGGACCGTGAGTGTTGAGCCTCAGGTGTGAAATGTATAGTTTTCAGGGTTTTTATCGGTTTTCAGCGTTATTTTGTTATCGTTTACTCGGTTTTCCTTGCTCTTTTCACGTGTGTTATGAATAAATCTTCTTTTTTTCGGTACCGGTACTAGTTTTATTTTGTTGTATTTATCCGCGACACCTTAAAGGCCGTGGCGCAAAAAAGGTTGGATACCGCTGCTTTAGTACGTCCACAACTTAACTCTTAAATGCACATAGTCAAAATAAAGAAATTAAAAAGAAAGAGTAGCAACGTGAGTTGAAATTGTAGCAACCCAAGGTGGTGGTAGCTTGGGTTATTTACACAGTGGCAAGTTCAAAGACTGTACATGCTTAGGCTCAAATCATTAATTATGTAGTGCTGTGATGTTTATTTTAGCTATTTTGCATTTAGACTTTAATTATTGTGGGTGTGTGATGTGGTTTCCAGCTTGTGTGTGGCTAAGTGTAATGTTAAGGTTTAACTAGCAGTGGACCACCATGATGACCAAGATTGCTGACTAAATCAAAGATGGACTCGGCCACCGTGATGTCACCCATTGATTTGGGGTTTTTTGAAGCCTCACTGTTAGTGTTTTGGCCATCACATTGTTATTGAGAGGAAAGGGTGGCCTGCTAAATTATCAGCTAATGCTTACAAGCTACATTTATAAACTGTAAGGCACAGACAAACACAGTATCGGTTAATTAGTGTTGCATAACAGACTAATAAAGTAGAATGTCACTCCTCAAAGCTAAGGCACAACTTCCTTGGACATATAACTTGATCCAAAATGCACCAACAGCACGAACATGGCAGAAAGATCCAGTGAAGGGACAATATTTAGCAGAGGTAAGACTCAGAAGACACCAGTGGGTACAGCTCCACCTGCCATCTATGTGGATGACTGGATGGCACACCCCTTCACCATCCTTCATAGCAACCCCAAGTTGCTATTAAGATATGAACTATCAATAAGGCCAAAACTGCTATGTATTCGGCTATAAAAAAATGTGCTTTGTGTTGTAAAGTTGGGTATTTTCATTTTTGGGACTCTGTGGAGCCTGACTTGCTTTTGGAGCCAGGCCCAAGTTGCCAATACACAACTGCAGTTTTTGGCACTTACACACCAGCCTCACTTTTCAGCCTTTGACGTTCTTCCTTGGTAGTGATGAGTCATGTCCATTCAGCGTGTATCTTCAGGGTGTTAAATACAGGAGCTTTTGGATAACCGTGTGGTGAATAAAGAGAATGGAAATTTAAAGAAACTGATTTCAGGGTACATTGGTGAGGGTACAGAGACATTTTCCATTTTTATGGTGATTACAGAAGGTACATTAAACATTATAATGGCTACCAAACAAGTGACTTTGTTTGTAAAATCTATATTATGCAGCACAGTAGTGTCATATCTTTTACTATATGAAAGTGTTGTTTTACATTTCAGTAGGTACGCTGTAAAATAATGTAAAATATCAACAACTTGCACACTGTGGAGCGTCAGTATAGTGTATTTATTACTCTATGCAAACTGTAATGCTGCTCTCCATCAGAATGGGGTGATGTGTATTTGCTTTTCTGTATTTTATTGTCATTTATCATCCTAAAGCGGAATCCAACTAGCTTTACTGTCATTTAAAAAGGACACTTTTTAAATGACAGTAATGATAAGTGGAAAAGATGTGATGGTAAAAAAAAAAAAGTAATTTCTCTAAATTGCAATGGAAATACCTGAGCTGTTTCAAACTAATGAGGAAGCTTAAAGCATATCATACTTCTATAACTGGTGCACTTTTAATTTTTCATCTTGTTGCACCCTCTCCTTCCATTGTTGAACAGCATTTAATTGCATTTTTCTTTTTTACAAATTTACTTAAAATGTCAAGTAAAACTTAACAGAAATGACTGAGATTATCCAGAGTGACAGGATTCCCCTTAATTTATTCTCAAATATATGAAAACCTGGGAAAAACTCAAACCCAACATGAAATAAATAGAAAGTACTTCTCTCTCTCTCTCTCACACACGCACGCACACAGGCACACACACACCTGCTTTGCAGTGTCATATGATCCACTCTCCAGTCACCTGTAGATGTAATCTGTGAAGGATCGCCAGCAGTCTCCCTATCTGACCTGTCAGGCTTTAGGGGAAAAAGAACCTGCGACACCTGGATTGTGGAGCGTTTTTAACTTGAAACGCCCTCTCCTCTCCCTTTTCCCTCTTTTCTCTCGGCCTCTTTCTCCAAGTCTTGCTTTTGGAATGAGAAAAAACAACTCTATTTTCTGTCAGTTTTTTTGTCAGAATACTAGTTACATGAAATCCAGTGTATAAACCTTTTCCAGCAATATCCCCGTTTAAGTAAAAAACAACAAACATTTAGGAGCAAATGCTAAGCTTGACTTGTCCTGGTGAATCTATAGCCATGACTAGCTGACTCTCAGCACTACTGCAAACAGTAGCTTATGTATGGGATCCCAGTTTTATGACAGCGAGTCCTAAGAATGCTTTGCCTCAACCTTGTGTTTGTATGTTTGTCTGGCATGTGTGTTTATGTGTGTATGTCTAGGTCTGGCCTCAGTGGCTGGAATGTGTGAGCCAGAGAGGAGCTGCAGCATCAATGAAGACATCGGCCTCGGTTCTGCTTTCACCATTGCGCACGAGATTGGCCACAAGTGAGTTTTAAGAGTTTTTAGGATCCTAATATAAAATATAAAACTTGACATTACTCCCTGATGCGTATTGCAGAGGTGGTGGGACCAAGTCAGAGGGCCTTAAATGGCTTGGTTTTGAAGGCACACATTTAAATTACTTAACAGAACTTGTCTCATTAATTTAAAGTGGTGCAGCTCTGTCTACTTTGACTTGAGAATTATTATCCCTTAGTTAATCCTTATCATGGCTTGTAAAAGTTTTCCTTTTTTGTCTTTATACTTTTTCATGATTATAGCATAATTTGCCGTGGCACCTTACGCACATCCACAATGAACTTACACCCCGACAATATTCATTCATGGATCCTTTTGATGACGTCATGACTGAAAAGACCTTTTTTAATTCAGAACTTAAACTTATCTGGTGGCATAAAATCCCTCAATATGAGTATTGGCACTGCTGATATCAGCAGATTTCTAAGCAGGACTTGAAGTTCTTCCTTTTACATTTTTGGGAATGAAACTTTCCACAAATGTAGCACCTTTTATAGCAGTTTTAGGTGTTGGCAAATGCCCTCTTTTTCCTTAAGGTCGTCTTCAAACCTTTTATCACTTTCACGACCTGTTCTTAAACAAACATTACTTACTGCCTGGTTTTGCCGGACTTGCATATAGTCTTTCCCCCCCCCCCTTGCAGACTGTAACTGCACATATTTCCTCATGCAAATGTCAGTGTCCGCATACCTCGGCCTCTTTCTTCCTGAATATAAAGCAAAATAATGATGATGTATTAGTCTGTGTATTCCTCTCTTGAGAGTTAGGCAAGATGGCGATTTCCTTTATTATGTCTCATGTCTGCTTCTGTTGTGGGGCAGTTGTAAAAATAGTCTCTGCTTCTAGAGGATGTATAAAAAAACACACTACAGCGGGGTTTCGACTGGCCTGATTTATTTCCCGAGTAGGGTAAAATGTCATAAACGCCAGCCTTAGAAAAACAGGTTCAGTCTGTGCAATGTGGTTGGATTTGTTATATACATTAGACCTGATTCGCACCACTAGACTGTGAGGGAAAGTTAAGCTTTGATATCCTGCTGTAATGAGAAACTTTTCTCTCAAATGACAGATGAAGTTTTTCTGAAAATGAATTGTTGCAACCATTGATAGCCAACATGAATTCAGTGGGAAAAAAAACTATTTCGTAGCTTTCAGAACAGTGTTCAAAGTTTGGAGCTGCTCATTGTAATGATCTAAAGGGTCTTGACTCCTCGCTCCAGTCTGTGCTGACTTTCCTTCCCTGGCTTGCTCAGACCTGCAGGCAGTGATTGACAGACAGGCATCCGAGTGGTGATTAGAACTTCTTTCCTGCAGAGCCCCAGACAGGGTTTGACCCTTGACCCCTCCACACAGCTGTTTTAGAGCCAATGAGCTCAATCTTTACAGCCACAGAGGTTGACATCCAGAATCCAGCAGCCTTAACTGTCCAGCGAGATCCCATCTAAACTGTGCAATTAACTACCACTTTCAGACCAGATGGTCATTTCTCCCAGCTGCATTAATTCCTCTTCTTATTTATTTTTTTCTGTTTTAGTTTTGGGATGAACCATGATGGGATTGGGAATTCTTGCGGTACCAAAGGTCACGAGACAGCCAAACTGATGGCTGCTCATATAACAGCCAACACCAACCCTTTCTCCTGGTCTGCCTGCAGCAAAGACTACATCACCAGCTTTCTCGAGTAAGTGGGTGATATGGGTGGTGGTTGTTCCCTGTGGGCCTCTGTGTGTGCGTGTGTGTGCAATAGAGAAAAAGGTGCATTCCTGTTTTCCTTCCACAGCTGTCTCTCTTTACAACCCGCTGCCACTGGCTGGTCCATGTGGCTGGACCCGCTAGGCTGCTTTGTACACGAGGCCTTCCCCTACTTATTCACATCCACTTCATCACTGAGACTTTTGCCAGACCTCCTTGTGGCTGCGTATGATAACTGAGTGCTTTCCACCCCTGCATCCTTGCACCACAAGGCGGGTGATGTTAGAGCTCATGTGGGTTCTCGGTGGTGATGTGTAGGCCAGCTGCCTTAAACCACTGCTCTGCTGTTTTATATATTGGCCAAAGGAGGCAAAAAAAGGAGAAAGAATTGGAGCACATAAATAAACGAGGCAGTGATATTTGAGTCTTGCCAGCCTGGCATAGTAGAGGACACACCAATGTTTCTTTTCCAGAGGCTAGACAAAACATCTGGAGTAACAGAACAAACAGATAATCGTTACAATGACAGACTTCTACACCTATTTCTGCACAGCATGATTTAGAGGAGGCGTGTCAATTTGAAGCCTTACTTGAAATTCTACTGCTCTTCACGCTTGCGAATCCCTGATTTTTATTTTTTCTGGCACTTTTGTCTTTTTATTAGATGGCAGAGACTCTGAATGTCTAACATCAGTGCAATATAACTACAGTCATGATCTTTTTTGCTCCACAAATTCTTTTTCCACATTTAAGCCTATAGCAGCACAGAGCAACTCAGCCGGCAGCAGACTTCTGTCAGAAATCCAGCTGTGTTATACTAGTAACGGCTATTGTAGCATGGAGCTGCTAATGCCTTTTTAATGATCATAGAATGAGGTCAAGGACCCCCTTAACTTTGTAGCATTTGTGGGAGTGATAAGATTCTCGTGTAGCTTTATTGCTGCACAAAAAAATTGCGAAACTCAAAGTGCTTGTTTGCAAAAATGGAATAGTGCTGACCGTGCAGAGCTAGTAGCACAAGACCACCACGGAAACAGGAAAGAAACTGACAACAATGGAGGAAAGTATAAAATGGGCCAAAGGTTATGAATGATTTCTAATCTAATTTGATGTGTTGCTTTGCTGTTTATGTTGTTTTATCTTATACTCCCATAAACAATTAGTCGACAGGGTTTATTCTGATGGATATTTAGATTCATACAGCAGCATTTTATTCATTTATAATCCTTCTCCTCATGTACAAGATGTAGAAAATCAGGATCCATCATAAACACCTTATTGTATTGTGTTATCTCAATAGACCACTTTCCTCTCAGAGTGCTGGCTTAATTGTAGTTATAAGCATTTCCAAAAGTAGAATGGGTTGTGACTATCAGGCCACTGTCTTGTGGAACCAGCTACCAGTTTGGATTCAGCAGACATGCACACTTCTCTACATTTAAGATTATTTATTTATTTTTTAAAAGCTACTACCTTTAGAACAGGTGACGCTAAATCATCCCTTAGTTATACCTCTGTTGGCTAAAACTGCAGTGGAACTGACAACACCCTGAGCATTTCTTCTTCACTGACTTCTTTTCACTTCCAATGCCACTAACCTTTGTTTGCTGTCCCCCATAGTCTGTTTTGTCTTGTCTGTTTGTGGTGTCTCGTTTCTCCTCTTTCCTCTTTTGTCTTTTCCCCTCTGTGCCCCTCCCTGAACCTAAGTAAGTCTATACCGTATAAACTACATTGTCCATAGCTGGTAACATTATCTCTGCAATGTCACCTGCCTTAGACAGCGAGCAAGAGGTCAGGGTATATTTTTACCTTTGAGCTCTAACACTAAGAAACTTTGTATCTGGTGCTTCTGCTGTGTGGTTTATTGTTTGGTTTATGTGCAAATTCATTTTTATGCTGATTTTTTTTAAATGCTTCATCTGACTTGAGATAACAACACAGAAAAACATTAAAACATTAGTATGTTTTTTTTAAATTTTTTTATTTTTTTAGTTTACCCTAGATAATAGAGATCATTTTTGAAAAATGGGCCTGTTATGCTAATTTTCAACTCCCTATTTTTATTCTTTAGATACTTTTCAGGTTTAAGTAATCCTTATTTATGTCATATTAGCGTTGCCCTTTAGTTTATGTACTCTCTGAAAAAAGCTTTTGTATTTACATTCCCTTTAAGCTATACTTCTTTTGATTGGTTGCCGTTTGTAAACAGGTTTGTATATTTCAACTCAATTCAATTCAGTTTTATTTACACAACACCAAATCACAACAACAGTCATCTCAAGGCGCTTTACATTGTAAGGTAGATCCTACAATAATACATACAGAGTAAAACCAACAATCATATGACCCCCTATGAGCAAGCACTTTGGCGACAGTGGGAAGGGAAAAACTCCCTTTTAACAGGAAGAAACCTCCGGCAGAGCCAGGCTCAGGGAGGGGCGGCCATCTGCTGCGACCGGTTGTGGAGAGGGGAGGAAGACAGGATAAAAGACATGCTGTGGAAGAGAGACAGATAAGAGCCAGACAAGTATGATTCAATGCAGAGAGGTCTATTAACACATAGTGAGTGAGAAAGGTGACTGAAGAAGAAATTCTCAATGCATCATGGGAATCTCCCAGCAGCCTACACTACTGCAGCTTAACTAAGGGAGAATTCAAGGTCACCTGATCCAGCCCGAACTGTATGCTTTAGCAAAAAGGAAAGTTTTAAGCCTAATTCCACAGAAGAGGGGCCTGAAAACTGAAGGCTCTGATTCCCATTCTACTACTTAAATACTCTAGGAACAACAAGTAGGCCTGCAGTGTGAGAGCGAAGTGCTCTAATGGGGTGATATGGTACTACAAGGTCATTAAGATAAGATGGGGCCTGATTATTCAAGGCCTTGTATGTGAGGAGCAGGATTTTGAATTCAATTCTGGATTTAATAGGGAGCCACTGAAGGGAAGGAAATATAGGAGAAATATAGCCTAGAAGAAGCCTAGAAGTAATAAATGCATGAATTAGTTTTTCAGCGTCACTCTGTGACAGGATATTTCTTATTTTGAGATATTGCGCAAATGTAAGAAAGCAGTCCTACATATTTGCTTAATATGTACATTGAAGGACATATCCTGATCAAAAATGACTCCAAGGTTCCTCACAGTGTTACTGGATGCCAAGGTATTGCACAAGTACAATAACCTCAGTTTTATCTGAGTTTAGAAGCAGAAAATTAGAGGCCATCCAGGTATTTATGTCTTTATTGCTGTATGTTTGGGATAATCATATTGGATATATCCTGTCTTTATGATGCTGCTTAATTGCACAAACATGCTGACCTTGTTGATTGAAATTTCAGCAATGTTTCAGATGCAAATCTGTTATTGTTGCAGTATTCAGTACTGTGCAAGAGTCTTGAGTCACTTGTCATTTCTTTGTCTTTTGCTTCCATTTGTGAGTTGTCTTGAGCAATGATTCTCCAGCTTTTCTTTGGACGCTGGCTGCTTTTTCACTTGTAACTAGTCCATGTAACTGACTGACACGTAAAAGACTTGACACAGGACCTAAGAGATGCATCTGACCCCTCTAGTGTTTTCTGAAATGGTTTTAATGGAAGGGTGGCTGTCCAGAAGATGTTCATAAGAAAACACACTCTCTCAGGCAAACTCCCAAGAGAGACTTATAAACTTTTAGATTTTTCCTAAATACTATGTTTAATTTGTGTTTGCAATTGTTTTCAATAAATTGCTTCACCTATTCCCCATTTTACTAGCAAAATATGAAGAAAGGAGATGTGACTCAAGACTTTTGCATAGTACTGTACATTTGACAGAAAATAAGAAAAAAACCTCCAATTTAAGGTCCATGTGAAGATTAAAAGTCCATTTTAAGTCTGTTCCTGTAATGAAACCAAAGGGGCCGTAAATGTTTCAGTACTAACAGCTTTTCTTTGCAGTCATAGACACCACACTTTTTTTTTCTCTGCAGTTCAGCTTCATTTCTCAGTATTAAGACCATGAGAGCAAATTCATAACTGCAACCTTGTGGTGAAGTATTGGTTACAAGTCTGCGGTGTGTCTGTGTGTTCCTCTGTTTGTGTATTCATGTTTAGTTAGCGAGGCCCTCCAAGAAAGCGGATAATAGCTGCTGTGGTTGTCAGATGATGTTTCCGGCTGAAAGCTGTTAGAGGAGGGTAGTGAACAGCACTTGTGACAGAGATGACAGTATTAAATGCCAGCTTCCAAATGGGACACAAAGAGCTGCTTCTACTCTGCGCTGCCGGGTTCCTGACGATTTCTGGCTCGTGTATCCGAGAATCACTATTTAAAAAAAAAAAAAAAAAAAAAAAAAAGTACCCCAAAGAGACAAAGCTTTTTTTACTTCAACTTTGAGCAGAATAGACTATTGCTTAACTTATATTATATGCATATTTGTATTGATCTGCGTTTTAGGTTTTAGTTTTATTGCCTTTTGCTTTTACAAAAGTGTTTTGTCTGTAAACTCAAATTATCCTCCCTTTCTCCCCCTCAATCAGAATTTTGGATATTGCACATGCATCTCCCTGCCAAGTAAACAACTTTGGCTGTGGTATTGGCCTAGATTCACCATCTTGCTCGAGCAATATGTGGTGCTTTGTTTGGGTTTTTTACGAATGGTTTATGAATGCGCTCACAGTTCAGTCATAGTTTATTCTCCAGAGTTTGCGTGCCAGTTTGTTCTAAATGTTAAAAGGAAAGCAGTTTGGCTTCATTAAACTCTCCGAGACCACATACTGCAATGAATTTCATATTAAACTTGTACCTTTTGTTAATAATTGTTAGGTTATACTGATTTAAACATACTGCTGCCTCACAACTTATTGGATGCACTCAGCAGGCTTAATATCTTCGCGAATGACTAGTCCCAGAGTACAGGGATAGCTGAAGTTCCTGCTTGCTAGAAGACGTTTCCGCTCAGCATAATGAATTTGGCTAAATCCACTGGACAGGAAGCCTTTGCGACGATGTCAAATAATAGTCTCTATGTTTAAACTTTGACTATTTTGTCTCTCTCCAAACTAATAAATACTGAGGCTTGCCCTTAGTACACAGGGTGTCTGGGGGCCTCATAGTCTGGCTTTTCTGCCTCTGCCTGTGATGAGAGGGTCCTCCGAGGGACAAGAGTAAAGAAAAAACATTATTCCTTTCAGTAACAGAGAATAGAGCATTAAAAATGCAAGAAACGGAAGAGATTAGAAAAGATAGAAAAGATTAGAGAAAAGAAGGATGACTTGCTCTTCTTGGTCTTCAGTGCTGAAAATAAAACATACACAATAAGTTCTATTTGGTATGTAAACAAAGATTATATATAATATATTTTGTTTATGCATTCTTGTTCAAGCACCAGGAGTCTGTGAGTTTAGACAGGTAGTTACAATGTGAAAGTCAATTAAATGAATTTTTATGATGATTTTTACATAAATTTATACGTCAGTCAAAATGCTGTCTACAAAAATAACTGGAGAGATTTAATCTTGAAAACCAAATTACCAAATTTTGTGTTGTGCTAATCATATCCGGGTATTTAATTTATCTTAATATTATTGTTGACTCTTCCCCTCATTTTCATTCTGGGCCCAAGTTGTAGTTTGATCAGTCATAATGTGTAGCACTTACATCGTTGTTGTCACCAAGCCCACTTTGCCTTTAAAGGGATGAGAAGCATTCCATTGCATGCTACAGCTGCCACATCTGGAAGGAACACATAGTTCTTATAGTAAACAGTCATGGTAATACTTTGCCTCGAGATAATCCTCTGACTCAGGGAAGACCAGTGGATGTAGTCTTTCATAAAAAAAAATCTTTTATAACCTCATGGCAGCAAGTGTCTGTGCTGGTAAAAGTATTTTCATTGTTTTAACTCCTAGAATACAAAATTGCAGTGTGTGTGTACGTGTGTGTGTCTGCTTTTGGTGGTGTACATGTTGTACATATTTTTATTTGACAAAACAGACTAAACAATCCTAGGTCTGGACATAAGATCCAAATCTAACTCCAGATTTCTTTCTTTATTTTCCTCAACTGTCATTTAATTGGCAGTCGGTGGGCTCAGTCTAAGGAGTCATACACACAATAGTGGAGCACGTAGCCATATAATCAGGGAGGGCTGGCCATTCTAGGCTGACAGCCTGCACCCTATTGCCTTGGGTAAAATGTCTGCTTGTGCTTCAACACTTCATTTGATGAAGAGGCGTTGATGTCTAATATCAGCATTAATTACATGACTTTTCAGATCTTTGTCAAAGCGTCCTATAACAGTAGTTTGGTACTAAAATTAAAGGAGTCACAGAAAACTAGCAAAGGTCTCAGAGGGGATTGACTCTAATTGTTCTGGTCTTGGCATCTCTAACTCGGCTATTATGCAAGTGTAGAAAGGTTTCTTTGTGTAAGAAACAATCCTATTGTAGGTTTGTTTTTTTGACAGCTCAGGTCGGGGGACGTGTCTGGACAATGAACCTCTGAAACGAGACTTCCTGTACCCAACAGTGGCCCCGGGGCAGGTGTATGATGCAGATGAGCAGTGTCGCTTCCAGTATGGAACCTCTTCACGCCAGTGCAAGTATGGGGTAAGAAACCAGCATCTTTCAGACTACTCTCCTCCTGATTCTTCCTCTTTACACTGAGAAAATGGGATCTCTCTCCTATATTATGTCTAGGGCAGTTGAAATAAAAATTTCTAGTTCCCAAGCGCAAGTTTTGTAACGCAGAGTTCACAGTGAAATATATATCACAGTAGGTACAATACCTAAACATTGCTAGACTTTACTTTCAAAGTGGAATAAGGATATAAACAACCCCTTGAATATTTGCAGTAATTAGAAACAGGCACAGTAATTTATTAAATGTGCAAACGTACATAGAAATGTAATATAAGGTAAAAACACAGTTTGTAGAATTCTAATGAGCTAGAAAGTCGATATTTGCTATAACCACCTTTTTCTGTATTTAGAATTCTAACAATGTTGACAAGAAATAATAAACATAATTCCCTGAAATGTACACCCAGACCATGACAGAGCCTCCATCGGGTTTTAACACAGCAGCAGACTGCTGTATCTCTCTCCTAAGTTTTCTGTTATGTGTAGACACAGCAACTGTTCATCCCTTGAATCAGGAGGCTGTTTATGCTTGAATGATTCAAAAATGAGTGAAAAAGCAACCAATGTCTAAATGAAGAAAAAAAGGACACTGGAAGACAACTGAAGAATTATTGCTCAAGACCTTTTTAAAAATATTACAAGCCAGTCGGCTCCCTGGAAGGAAAATAGAAGAAATAAAGAAGGGAAACAAAGAAAGAGGAAAAAAGAAACAGAAGAAATAAAGATGGGTGACTCAAGACGTTTTGCTTAGTATTGTACATAGAAATATTATGCATATATTGGTGTGATCTTCAGTGTCCATTAAGAATGAATATAATCATTGGAATCATTAAAATTGCTCTGTCATAGTAAACCTGAGCATCTTCACACTATGATGCAAAGCATATGGGGTCTTAAAGCTTGCAGTCTCATTGTTGTCTCGTCAGCTCTGATCCTCTGATTTGATCTGGAATTGTGTAGATTTATAGACACATTTTCATGTCATTTGCCTTCTTTTCTCTTGTTCTCACAGCTGTTAGACAACACCAAGAAAAACACTCAAAGAAAAAGCAGCAAAGAGCAACTGATAAATCATTTTTGCCTCTATTTAACAAATCCACCCTCAGCCTGCTGAATTAATTTATTCTGACCAACTTGCTTTTGCCCTCTTTCCTAGGATGTGCCTTAGCAAAAGCAAATGTTGTGTAACTAACAGTACATGACTGCTCTGTCATAGCAAACCTGAGCATCTTCAGATTTTAGACTCTTAAGGGAAAGATTAGTTAAAGATTAAAGTTAAAGATTTTGTAGAACGAGAAAGTTATAAAATTTGTAGAACAAGTAATTAAAGATAACTAAGAAAAAAGTCCTTCAGAATTTAATGTTGTGTAATTATGATTGTTAAAAACTTTTATGTGGCTACAGTGCGAACAGGAAGTGCTAGTATCTACTGTAACATGTCTTTCCATGTTGGCTAGTTGTTAAAATGGACCTGTGATGTCAATAACTTTCCATCAGGTCTGTAGAATTGTACTGCACATTTGTTATCTGACCTTATAGCCCCCATATTATATCCCCATCTGGAAAGGGCTGAGCTGTCTGAAAAGTCAATGCAGAAATGCCATTCTCTTTAGCACTTATTGGTTTTCTTGACATTTTGATTTCTTTTAACTGCAATATAAAAAAACATGCAATATATCCCTACACACTCTCTTATTTTTAATAACTATCTAATTTATCTGGACACTGAAACTACCAAGTAACCAAATTACACTTTCACAAGGAAATAAAAAAGTTGTTTGAGACGGTTGGTCATTTTCATTGGACCAAATGAGTCCACTGACATACTCCGGACTCCAGTGCATTAGGTGGTTGTAATGCAGAAGAGTTTGCAGCAAAGATTGCGCTATGTAAAGCAAATGACAGACAACTGCAACAACAGTTAGCACGGGTGGGTTTTCAGTCCTGCTGCCTCTGATTGTGGTTTACAGCTTTCCAACCTGGGCACTGAAACTGGAAAATAGATAAATAGAATGGAACACAGAACTTCATTTAAACCCTGCTCCCTGTGGTAAAAACAGACTGATTTAGTCTAAGGTCCTGAGGAAACTTCTGCAGAAATGAGTGTGTGAAAATGTACAAATGTACTTCATCATCCCAGTTTACTAACCATATTGTGTCTTACCATGCCTTTGAGTGTGGTTAACCTTAAGTGTTAAGTTAAAAAAAAAAAAAGTAAGAGAAAATCTCATTTTTTCATTATTTCCTCATTTAGATTAAAAGGGGGTGAAGAGGTTATGGACAGGATTTCTAGGCGCAGCCAAGTGGCGGATGGCTTTCGCTTTGGTGGCCTCAGAATCTCATCTCTGATTTTTGCGGATGATGTGGTTCTGTTGGCTTCTTCGGGTGATGGCCTCCAGCTCGCACTGGAACGGTTCGCAGCCGAGTGTGAAGCAGCGGGAATGAGGATCAGCATCTCCAAATCTGAGGCCATGGTTCTCAGCCGGAAAAGGGTGGAGTGCCCACTCCGGGTCGGGGATGAGTTCCTGCCCCAAGTGGAGGAGTTCAAGTATCTCGGGGTCTTGTTCGCGAGTGATGGGAGAAGGGAGCCGGAGATCGACAGACGGATTGGGGCTGCAGCTGCAGTAATGCGGACGCTGCACCGGTCCGTCGTGGTGAAGAGGGAGCTGAGTGTAAAAGCGAAGCTCTCAATTTACCGGTCGATCTACGTCCCTACCCTCACCTATGGCCACGAGCTGTGGGTAGTGACCGAAAGAACGAGATCGCGGATACAAGTGGCAGAAATGAGCTTCCTCCGAAGGGTGGCTGGCCTCTCCCTTAGAGATAGGGTGAGAAGTTCGGCCATCCGGGAGGGGCTCAGAGTAGAGCCGCTGCTCCACATCGAAAGGAGCCAGCTGAGGTGGTTCGGGCATCTGACAAGGATGCCCCCTGGGCGCCTCCTGGGTGAGGTGTTCCAGGCATGTCCCACCGGGAGGAGGCCCCGGGGCAGACCCAGGACACGCTGGAGAGATTATATCTCTCAGCTGGCCTGGGGTATTCCCCCGGATAAGCTGGAGGAGGTGGCTGGGGAGAGGGAGGTCTGGGCCTCTTTGGTTAGGCTGCTGCCCCCGCGACCCGGCCTCGGATAAAGCGGATGAAGATGGATGGATGGGGGTGAAGAGGAAGACAATACTTTTATTAATATCAAGGCGACACAGGCAGTGAAAGACAAGAACCAACCACACATTTAAATGAGCAGCTGAAAGATTCCTCTGATATCTAATGGACAGTAATGTAATATTGCTCTGCATCACATAGAAAATTGGGCACATGATGGAAGAGAGGACAGATTAGTTGAGATCACAGAGTTATTTCTTTTCATTGAAAGAAATATCTGACAGAAGATTACAACAAGGCCCAAATCAACGCTCAGTTATTTTGGCTCCTAAGCTCATAATTGTGGTTTTAGATTGCCAAGAAAGACACCCATTTATGAAAGGGTGGAATTCCGGCGCTGATTTATCAGAGCTCGATTGGAGTGTTTCGTCTGACGATCAGATTTATTTCATACTTTGAAATCGATGCCCTCAGTGAGAGGATGGATGTAACCACAGAAAAAGATCAAAGCTTTAATAAATGGAAGAATCTGGTTTCTTAAGCCAATTCTTACCCAGAATGTACCAAACGTTTCCACGACATACTATTTGGGATTTTACCCAAACGATATGTTTGGCTTCCTTCTTGTGACCTGGCGCCTGCTTCAACAAACTTGCTTAGGTTTAAAAGGCATAACATTTTCTATGACCAGCAATATCAAAAACCAACAGTCCCAAACTATTTTAAATCATTTTAGCTACACGGCTGTAAGGATGGCACTGATAGTTGTCTGGGGAAACCACCATGGTCCAGTTTGAAATATCTTATATCAATGTCTGTTTTTGGTTTTTTTTTGTACCAAGAGACAAATTTCAAGGTCTTTTGTTATCTCAAGATTTTTTTGCTACGCAAAGCTAAGCTATTGTATGTACATTGTTGTTGTTAGCATGTGACCATGCTCAAAATGTTGCTGTCTCCAGGTAGTCTAGCATGCCTGTAAAATGCTAGCTTTTACTATTTTCCTCAAGTTTTTGGTTTGCTTTTTTCGTCCCATGTTTGGAAAAAGCTTTGAAAATGCTATTACTCTGTATCTGTCCTCAGGCAATTCTTGTGTCATGATTCACAGAGGCTCAACAATATCAAAAGAAACTGATATTTCCATTTTCAGGAATTGCCTCAGTTTTGGGATCTTTCTTTGCATGTGCATATATGAGTCAGAGCTGGGAAGAGCGGCAGCAAAGCACAAGAACAGCACAGGGCAGCTATCACTGACAAAAGTTGTGACACTGACTTAGTAAGAAGCAGCCAGAAAAATGCACTGCTTCCATACACTGCATGCGGATCATGTATACAGTATATATGAACAAACAGCTTATTAGGTATTCCTAATTTAAAAAAAATTCTTTATGATGCTTAAACTTGTCTGGTTTTGCTCACACAGTTTTGGAGAGGTAAGATTAAAACTTGTGATTATTTTGGAGGTTGATGTTTGTTTTGAATTGTTTGAATGGTATATCATTATATTACTGTATACAACCACTTTAATTCTATCCTATTTACAAATCTGGAAACATGGACAAGATGAAGTCACTTCAGACAATCTAAGAAGGGAGTTGCATATACAAAATCACTGTACTTCAACAGTTCACAATATATATATATGTCTATATGCCTCCCAGGGTTAAGGACCACAATGCCTTCAGGGGGTTAGGCTTAATTTATAGATTATAAAAATCCTTGAACCAAGGGTTGTCATAAAAATTTATGAAACATATGAAAAACAAACAATCTTTTGATATTAGTGGGGCTCTTACTGAGTGTCTCTGACCGCTTTTTATCACCAGCTTGTTCTCGTCTGACATAAATCTTCCAGCCCCGCATCCATGTTTGTTGAGGCCCGGTCAGTGACCTTTTACCATGGCTGAGATAGTGACTGGAGCAGTAGGGGTGGCATATTAAAACCAGCTGGCATAGGGGAGTCGGTGCAACCAGAGACTGGCAGTTAGCTGCATTATTGAATCTGGATAGGCTCAAGGAGCTGAAGAGCTGTGGGATATTTACTGACCTTTGGGCTCAGAATCTACGTGTTGGCTCGTTATTCTTTTTCATGAGCTTGCTCTTCTGCTCTACTCAGTTGTGTTATAAAAACCTTTGAAGTTAAGACTTTAGGCAACCCAGTTTACTTAAACAGGAAATCCAGTCTTGGTTGTGCAGCACATCATGTGCTCACTTTATCCAGTTATTTATTTGGGGGCAACTTAACAGTGTATTTCTTCTCTTTCAATAATCTAAATGGTTTCTCCATTCTGTACTGAAGAGTGATGATGTTTACGCAGACAAATCAGTAATACTAAGGATATTTGTTAGGCTACAAGCCATCTTTATCTAAGACTTGGGAGGCCTATTGCTCACTCTTTATTTCCCCTAAGAAGCCAAAGTTGGATTTCTTGAACTGATGTCACGGTCCCATGTGGTCCTGAGATGAACATGAGCAAACGTTAGTCATGGTGTTGATCTAGCTGACTCTTCATTTCTCATAAGAGAGCATTAAAAACACGCAGTGACCCTTAGCATGTTGCTCAAAATACACTATGATCCAAAGCATATGGGCTCTTGAAGATAGCAGTCTTGATGTGGTCTCATAATCTCTGATCCTCTGATTTGATCTGGAATTGTATGGATTTATAGACACATTTCCATGCCATTCTTTTTTTGTTGTTCTCACAGCTGTCAGACTGCACAAAAAAATACTAAAAGGAAAATCAGTAAAAGGCCACTGATAAATCATTTTTAGCCTTATTTAACAAATCCACCCCCAGCTTGCTGAATTGATTTATTCTGACCAACTTGCTTTTGCCTTCTTTCCTAGGAAGTGTGTAGAGAGCTCTGGTGCCTTAGCAAAAGCAACCGTTGTGTAACTAACAGTATTCCTGCTGCAGAGGGGACCCTGTGCCAGACAGGCAACATTGAAAAAGGGGTAAGTCATCTAGTGTTTCTCAGACATTTAAAGGTTAAAGTTTTTTTCCAGATACACAATTTTTAATATTAGAAGAAGCTGACTCAAATAAATACCAAAATTCTATTTTTAAACGATGATCTCATTTATTAACCGGAAAGAAAAAGAGATAAAAAAAAACAAACCCTCCAACCCTGTGTGAAAAAGTAATTGCCCAAACTTGTTCAATCATTAATTAACTGCGATTCACCACATTTTGTGGAAATCTGAGCTCAGTTTCACTAGACACACCTAGTTGTGATTACTGCCAGACCCAATGAATCAAGAAATCACCTAAATAGAACCTGTCTGACAAAACCTGTCTGAATAAAGAGAGAAAATCATTAACATCTATCACTCTGGGATGGATTGCAAAGCCATTTCTAAGGCTTTGGGAGTCCAGTGAACCATGATGAGAAGCATTATCCAGAAATGGACAAAGCATAATACTCCAAAAATCCTTTGACAACTCATCTAGTAGGTCAAAGATGAATCCAGAACAACAGAACTACAGGTTTTACAATGGCCTAACCAAAGTCTGGTCTCAAATTAAATTGAGCTGCTTTGGTTTAACCTTTCGCAGGTCATTTATGCTTGAAAACCCTTCAGTGTAGCTGAATTAAAACAATTCTGCAAAGAAGAGTGGTCTAAAATTCCTCCATTTCAGAAAGAGTGTAGGAAGCCATAAATGTGTTACGGTCTCTTGCAAATCTTTTGCCATCTACATGCACAGAAATTTGAAACTAAAGAGAAATTCACATTAACTACTTGCATTTTCAGTATAGCCAGGAATCCTCTCTGGAATCCTCCTCTAGCACACTAAACTTCTGCATGTCCTCCTTCACTTCACTACATCCATGAGTCTCCTCTGAGGTCTTCCTCTTTTCCTCGTGCCTGGCAGCTCCATATTCCACATTTTTGTCCAGTATATCCACTATCCATCCTCTGCACATGTCCAAATGATCTCAACTTTGTCTCCATATTGCTCAATCTGAGCTGTCCCTTTTATATTGGAATATAACCAGAATACAACCAGCTGGTAATCAGTCAAGTCAAGGACTCTATTAGAAAGAGCCACATCGCAGATGAATTGCGCTCATCAGCACAGACTGATTCAGATTGGTTACAACATTGACTGCGTTTATAAAATAGATTGCAGTTACTTGCAAACTTTTGCCACTATGTCTGAGAGTGATTGTGGGAAATCCAATTTTGACTGTAATTCTTTGGAGACAAGTTGCCTGTCACCAGAGATTGACAGTTAAAATACTTATGAGTTGCTTGCCTGCTTAGTGAGTTGTGGCAACTGTTTGCTGTAGGTGGGTGAAATTGGTCACAATGAAGTACATGATGTCTGACTGAAAACCTGTTTGCGATTGCTTTGGTCGCCAGCAGGTTACTGTTGTCAGCCGTAGTTTGCATGGAATTTGCCAACTTGTCTGCACACACTCACCTAAGCCTCTAAGTGTTTGTGAAAATGTCAGGAGTGTGATACAAATTGGAAACTGACACTGTTTACCTTCACAGTTGTGCCTTTTGAAATGTGCTGGTTTCAGAGGTAACGCAACTTTTATTTTATGCACTTTGCATTGCACCTTTTCAAGTTTCACTAACGCTCTGCACTTAGTTAGCAAGTGTTTGTATATGAGTCAGTTAACGATGGGTGACCGCGGCAATCTGCTCATGACCAAAGCAGTCACAAGGAGGTTTTTGGTTCAGTGGCCTGCAGTGACCGATTTCACCCAACGATAGCTAGCAACCGTCAGGGAATACACATTTCTTCCAAGTGAAAATAGGCTGCCAGATGGACCAAGCTACATCTAGAAGTTTATATGTTTTAAATTAGAATTTGGGTGAACCTGCCCTTTCAGCACTGCAGCTATATTTAATACCTGGTGACCTGTAATGTGAAACAAGCACTTTTATTCTCTTCTCTTTGTGTAGCTAGTGGTACCTCACTAGTGTGCACTCATGCATTTGGTGCAACCACACACCCACACACACATACACAAACTCACAGACGTAAGCAGGCCAGGCTTTAGGTCATCAGCCGAGTGCTGATGCCAGCCAGGTTAGGGGAGACTGTTTTAACACGGATTACGGCAACCATTGTCACCGGATGGTCCGAGGGGTAAAAGGGAAGAATGGGAGAGTGTCACGAGCTGTCACCCATAATTACCATTAGCTCAGTGGAGCCTTTGAGGACCAGGGCCCACGGACAGAGTCCTGTACAACACAGGGGGCCCCAGGTAGAGCCTGGGGGGCTTTAGAACAGCTTTTGGAGCAGCTTTAGGAGAGCCAGTGGCATACTCTGTCTGCCCCTGCTGGGGACGGCTTCAAAGGAATATGAATGTCAGCCATTTCTCACCCAGCGTGTAATGGAGAGAGGCCCTTCCAACAGGACCAGACAGAGATAGAGGTAGAGACTGGGGGATGGGAAAGCGGGAGGGGAGACAGCCAGGAATTAACCAATAGAAGGGAGCTTTGCGTTTCTTCTGTGTGTTCAAATTGACCAATAAACTTACAGTTAACGCTGAGGTTCTGTGCCCGTATCAGTTGGTCCTCCACATTTCTCTTTCTCCACACTGCTAATCTTGTTTAGTAGACAGCATCTCAGAAATTAAATGAGAGGTAGAGATAAAGAACGCAGCAGCTCAGCCTAGCCCTCACCTTGACTGTACCGTTCTCTAGAGGGTTATTAACCTACTGACACAGTTGGAGGGACAAAGGAAAGTCTCTGATCCCCTCTTCCCCCACAACTCTGAACAGATTAACATGATTACTCCTGAAACGTAGTTCAGCTCTTTCTCTGCCTCACCTGTCTTGGAAATAACTTCCCATAATGGAAACATTAAATAAATATAGAAGAGTCACAAGATACACGAGAATTAATTATTGGACGAAATCTTCAAAAGTTGGACACTGCACGGCCAATATTTTCCTATATGCAGATATATGTTGAATTATGTGTCCTCATAAATTCATATAAATATTCTAATAAGCTGTATGTTATAGCGAGAATGGGCCTCTTTAACTTGAAGCTGGTCAGTGTGTCTGAAGAAATTATTAAGATATGTAATAACCAAAGTTTTCCACTCTGTGCATACTTCTGCTTCTCCCCACCCAGTGGTGCTACCAGGGGGAATGTGTTGCGTTTGGTACCTGGCCTCAGAGTGTGGATGGAGGCTGGGGGCCATGGTCCATTTGGGGGGAGTGCAGCAGGACCTGTGGGGGCGGTGTATCCTCCTCCATGAGGCACTGTGACAGCCCAGCGTAAGTAGGCAAAGTAAGCCACAGCAAGCTGAACACACACATCCAGGTCCTTGCCTACAAGTGTGTGTTTGTGTGTAGATGTGCATGTGTATGCGTGGCTGTGCGGATGTGTGTCGTAGTGCGAGTCAAGCTACAGTAATTATACAGCAGTCATGTCTGAAATATTCACAAGGCTAAATGCTTCTTTAGTGGGAAAAGTAAACTGTTAGACCTAAAGTAAAAATATGTTGACTGCTACAGGTAATGACGCTTTTAATTTATGACAAGTGTAAATATTCTGACATGTGGTACAGTGATTTTAATGTTCATTTTAAAATCCTCCACCTGCTTAGAACAAATAAACGATTTAGCAGCTCGACAGCCAAATGTAAGGGGTGAATATCTGAGTCACATTTGTCATTATTAAACATATTTAAGAAGATTGCTGCATATTTGCTGGACGTGTAAACATCTCTACTGCCCAGAAAACCATTAGTTGTTTTTTTCTTGCCGTCGAGTCGAGGCTCTAAAATGAAAGTTGAACCGATGTCTCGGGCATTACTGTGACATTGGTTCAAGTAATGTGTTCAACATTGCCTGGATGCCTGGTTAGAATTTCTAGTAAGATAAATTTTACAGTAGGTATGGATAAACAAAGCAACCTTCTGCTTTGAAGTCCCCCAATTACCCTACTGAGCTAAGCAGCTTCAAACCTAATGTGGTAATTGTAATTTTATAATACATTAAATTCACCATTCCTATAAACAATAGAATTTATATGTACAAAACCATAAATAACTTCAAAATATTGTTGACCGACACAGCCTTTGTTCTGTGTGGAAATAATATCCGTTCATCTATCCTACGTTATTTTCTTTATACATGCTGCCTTTGGGACTCATTTTCAAAAAGCATAATATCTCGTTTCACTACTATGCTGACGACATCCAAATCTACTTCCCCCTGAATCAGGATGTCCAGTCCTCATTAGTGCCTTTGTTCAATTGTCTGCGGGAAGTAAAAGATTGGCTATTACAAAACTCTCTAACTCTAATTGAAATTAAAACAGAAATTATTGTTTTTGACAGTCCCATTCCCCTGGACCAGCTAACTAATACACTGGGGTCCTATGCCAGCCATCTCTCTTATACCGTTAGAAATCTTGGAGTGGTCCTGGACAGTTCACTCAAGTTAGACCAACAAGTTGCCTCAGTTGTGAAAATGAGTTTTTACATCAAATCTCCAAGGCAAAGCCCTATATTCCACATAAAGACCTTGAAAAGCTTATCCATGCCTTCATTACTTCGAGACTAGACTATTGCAATTCTCTGTACATGGGCCTCCAATTCTCTCTCACATTTTTAAAATCCTTTTGTGTACTTTTAAAATTTTAAATAACCTGGCGCCCAGTTTCCTAACAGACCTTCTCTACACGTATAGCCCCAAGAGAGCGCTCAGATCCTCTAACCAACTGCTCTTAGTGCAACAAAGGCCGCGACGAAAGACCAGAGGGGACCGAGCTTTTGCAATGGCCGCACCCAAACTCTGGAATATCTTCCTATCGATGTCCGCATGTCAGATTCCATTCAATCGTTTAAATCCCGCTTAAAAACTCACCTGTTCCATCTAGCGTTTGAAGCAAATTAGTTCGGACTTCCACCTGGTCTGCAGTTGTGCTGTGTAACTGTAACTACAACTGGTTTTAATTGTTTTTAACTGTTTTTGTTGCTTTTGTTGTAATCTGCTTTGCTACCTTGTGTGAAGCACATTGATGGACACTGTCCTTTTTAAATGTGCTATATAAATAAAATATTGATTGATTGATCTATTGTTCCATTTTTGCTGTACTGTGATCAGTTTTGACCATGGAGATGACGTTGGGGTTTCAACCATGTTTTTGGCTTTGGAATTCCCATTTTTAGCCTCATTATGAATGTTTTTACTGTCACCATTTGGATGTGACCAATAACTTGTGTAACCCCACACCCATTTACTGGCAGTAAGTCGTTAGCTTGGATGATCTCGCTTTCTGATAATGACCAAAATTTTAAAAATGGTCTCAAACTCAGTAGGAGAGTTCTAAGTAGGTCAAGACTTCTATTGAATCAATGAATGAAGTACTTTTGAAGAAATAATTTTACTTAGTAAGGTATAAAAGGTAGGTATAAAAATACAGATTTCGCTTCTGGCTCTAAAAAGTGAAGCCATCACAAAAGTGCCATAAGCCTTCTTTTTTAAGGCCACCACAGGGCTTCCAAAAAGACTCCTGGGCCTGTGGAAGTTTATGGGAAAATGGCCCTCTGCCAGGACCTTTGTAAATATTTGGCTGCTGAGTTTATGAGTCTTAGTCACTTATTTCAGTTCATACTGTAAAAAACAAAACAAAAAAAACCCAGAGTCCTTGTGGCATACTGTCCATGACTAGCGTGGACACCATTGGTTGAAAATTGTTTGGTGGTCCTTCCATTCTGCTGCATACCGAAGATGACGATCGTTGATGGCATGACGGGAACATTGTTCCACACACTTCTTGTTTGTTATGAGTTCACCATCTGGGTACTCGTAGTGCACTGTGCATAAGTGTATTTCACTGTCACTGTGAAACACACTTATGCACTCAAAACAGCGAGTCTAAGTAGAGAAGTGTGCAATATGAGCCATAGTAACTGGCTTTCCAAGGCTCAGCTGAAAGTCTGGATTTCTTCTTTACCATTTTCTAAATTTGAACAACAGGGACAAATGTTATTTGAAATGGGGAAAGAAAGGAATACACCAACGCAACTGTCAGTAACCTGAAATTACCACAAAGACCAATATTAGCTGTTTCAGATAATACTTTGCAGCCATTACAACTGACTGTAAAGGTTCTTAGTCCTTGTTCTTGTGCAGTTTCACGCAGTCTCGGTTAATGTGACATGTGCGTTAAGTTAAGACATAGCTTACTCTTCTTCGAAGATTATGGTGATGCGTAGGTTTACTTTAAAACCTCCCATGTGTCCTCACTAGACAAATCATTGACCAGTGCATCTTTGGCGGGCAAGCAGACATCTGGGATCTTTATCCTTCTTCCATTGTCGCATTCCTTTGTTTTGGAAACTAGGTATTACGTCAAACACGTCATGGGAAGGCAAGAAAAAGATCCAGGGTGAACCAGAGGGAAGGAAGAAAAAGGGGAGGAGGTGAAGGCACAGGCATAATGTGGAACACCTGTGTAAGGTGATCACTGCTGCTCAGCCATCAGTGCAAAGAGGAGGGAGGCAGAAAAAACACAGCCAGACACAGCCTCTAACACATTCATTACGTACATGGCCTGTCTCACAGTTTTTTTTGCAATAAAGTGAAGGGAAGGGAGGCTTCTGAAGGTGAGAAAAAGCAGAGAGATGATAGGGAAAGGAAAAGAAAACCTTCAGAGATGTGGTAGATGTGTAGTGAAGAGTAGAAGAAGGAAAAGCGTGAGTTAAGAGTCATTAGACTTGAAATGTCATGTCACATTTAAGAGCTCTTAGAACAGGTTGGATTTCCTGAATGAATCCTTGGCACAGATGCTCAACAAAGCAGCAAATGCTGACACACAAACACTCTTTGTTTTCTGGCAGAGACTTTTTTGCGCCTGTTTCATCAGAAAAAAAAATCTCTTATGTACTGTTTGCCCTAAAGATAATCTCTGAGAGGAATTTGTGAATATAATTTACGGCGCTTTATGTGGTTTGATGTAAAGAGTCTCTTTTCCCCATCCCTCATTTATTTCTGTTGTGTCTCTCAGCCCATCTGGAGGAGGCAAGTACTGTCTCGGAGAGAGGAAACGATACAGATCCTGTAACACTAACGTGAGTTTCTTCATTTCTTTGCCTCCCTCTTTCATTTTCTGCCAAGTAGCATGCGAGCAACTTAAAAAAAATGTTGGATCACCTCTTTGCTCTTCCACAGCTCTCCTCCAGAACATGTTATCTTAGAAAAGGGCTTTACCGGCTGCACACTAGCACACAGCATCATGTTGCCTTTAAGCTTTCTGACATATTTTCTCCTGGAACGTAGGACAGACAATGATAAAAATGAACAGACAGAGATTCAATATTCCCCTGGTGACTTTGGGTTTATTCGCGCCCTCTGTCATTTTATAGTTCATTTATTGTTTGTGACATTTCACTTGAGTCAAACGATGATGACAGTTCAGGGTGTATTTCATAAGAAGCAAGCTTTTTGTTTTTTTGAGGTCTGGAGCAATGTTTTATCCAAATATTTGACATGGCTGCAAGTTAAGATCTCTGTTCAACTATTTCTAGGTGGCCTTTTTCACTAGGTGAAAATTGAAATAGTTAGGGCCTTAGTAGACATTTAACCACAAGTCTTAAAAATAACAGTTCTGAGCAAGCACTGAGTGTTTTCTTTGGAAAACAAGCAATGTCCCTAACCACTATTTCATCACACTAACCACACCTTGTCCAAAGAAGCATGTGTGTGTGAGAGAGCGTGCCAAATGTAGATACAATGACAAATACTCACAAATTATCCTCAAAAGTATATAAATGGGTGGGCCAAGTTTCATGGCAGACAGCCTATTTATTCAAAACAGTTAAACTGGTAGTAGCAGTCCTTGGAAAAAGGTCTGATGACTGCCAGAGTCATTAGGATCTTTTCTCTTTAGCATAGTTAAAAAACATATGCCTTAATCATAATCTGTGCTTATGCCATACATGTTGAGATATTTCATTACCTAAATTAAAACTGGTGGTGCTGGTGATGTCAGATGGTCCCCCAAATCACTAGAATTCATCCTGTGATTACCATGCATACCTTCAGTATAAAGGTTTTATCACAGTAATTATTGCAATATTCCACCAAACTGGTGGACTACCAAGAGCATGCCAATCATAGAGCCATCCCACTAGCATCTAACTTAACGTGTTATCTCTAAGGACAGTTAAATGAGTATTTCCTTGACTGGTTGCTGCTGCTGTAAAATAGATTGCTAATCCCAATCATCCACGCCTAAAGACTTGTCAGTGACCCCGATGATAACCAGAAGTTACCAATTTACCGGTTGGCAAGTGATTGTAGGAGGTTGCTTAGCACTTGGCAACAGTGGGAAGAAAAAAGACTCTTTTAACAGGAAGAAACCTCTGAGATGAATAATAATAACTTTGTTTTAACATTCTATAAGAATCCATTTATTTTGCATAATATTTCACAATTTTATTTTTGTGCTAATTCTGTTACCTTTTATTATTTATATTTTGTCTTCTTATCTGACTTCTTTTGTTGTCTTTTTCACTTTAAGTTTTAATGTGCATTAGCCTCTGAATTCAATCTTTATTTCTCATTTTTGGTCAAGCACTGGTAGAGCACTGACATTTAATTTGATTTGTTTATAAAGCCCACTAAAAATACCACATTTTGTTTTATATTAAGCTCCTCAAGAGGCACAGACGATACCTTTTTAAGAACTTTAATTTTTAAAGTCAAGATAATGAAGGGAAAGTGTCAAGCATTTAAGCAACTGGACTCGAGTTGCTTAAATGATAGGACTTTTCTCCCTTTTTGTGCCTTCTGTTCTATTATTATTTTAATCAGTTGATAATCAACAAGTTAAACATTGATGAAAACCCAACATTATTAAAGTGAGCTTTTCTTTTGTTCCAACAGACGTTAGCACATGTAAATCTCATTTGGTACTGTGTTTTCATTTCAACACACACTTGCAATAATATTATTCTGTCTCCTCTGACTGGATCTGCATGTTTGATGTGCAAGTTTAAAGCGGCTAAATTGGCAAAACACTTGAATGGTAATGAAAGTGGCCTATCCTCCCTATGGCCCACTCCAGCATGGAACACTTTGAGCATGTGAAATACAGCTTTGACCCGAGAGCCTTTATTTGTACCGAGGGAGAGTGTTTTGCGGTTCCTAAGGACCTTTTCACACCAGCAAAGTGTTTCTTTCCACTTTTTACCTCCTCTTATTGGCGCATTATCCACACAGTGGAGTGCCATCCCAGAATCAGAGCCAGAACTCAGTCTGCCTCAGCCTGAATTCTATACTGGGCTGTTTCACCTCCTCTGGCTCGGTTTATGTTTCTAATTAGCTAGCCAAAGAAATGTTTCATTATCCATCATAAATCCACACATAAACAATTCATCTGAACACAGAACACAATGTTCTCAGACAGAAATGCCAAGAAACACATCTTCTTTAGTCTGTAAAAAAAATTTAATGTGACATTGTTAATAAAGTAGGGATTTTAGAAAATAAAATGAGCAGATAATTAATTTACTCAAAAGGCAGCAGCACTCAAACCTACATATAGACTCTGTAAAAGATGAATGTACCCCTCTTGATGTGATTGGTTTATCAAGTCCTGTTTTAAAGCTTGATTTTAGCAATTTGGCTTATCAGAAGTCAAAGGAGATTGGAGGGCTAAAGTGTTAGCTGTTATCAGAGGTTCGGTTTAGGAATTTGAATTTGTTGAGGTGGAGAGTACCAGACCTGTGGGCTTGTTGGTACTAACCTGTGTAGTCACTCCCCAGACGAATTTCAATGCAGTGCAGATGGTGCTGGTTAAATGATAAAATATTGACATGAACCGATTACGTGGCAGATCACACAGTTATTATATTGACAAGCTGCTGGAGATCACTCTTACTGACCTTAATTCCAAAGGTCATTGGCACCAGTCTAATGTGAACTGGGATTAGACATTCGATAATCTTGGTCCTTTGTATTCACATTCAGTTTCACTGTTGTTTGCAGGCCTGCCCTGCAGGATCTCGTGATTTCCGAGAGAAGCAGTGCGCTGATTTTGACAACTCCCCTTTCCGTGGGAAGTACTACAACTGGAAGCCTTACACTGGGGGTGAGTTCAGGACTAGTTGTGATCAGTTGTTTGTATAATACATCCATGGTTTCAAAGTATTACTGTATAACATGAACGATTAATTACTATATAAGCAATAGTGTCTGGATGAAGTTTGATCAGAGTTAAATTCACTCCCACTCAATTCTTATTAAATAATTAATAATTACTTACTCTCAGTTTGAACTTGCTAAGAGTTGAAGCTGTTGTTCTGTCAAAACTCTCTAAGAGCTGAGCTGTAAAGCCTCCCTATCATCCCTTTTGTGTCTCAAATGACAGTTTGCAGGCTAGTCTGTTTTCTGGACCCATCTCGGGCTTTTTTCCCCTCTCTGGATCAACAATTTTTTATTGAGCCAATACCAGTGGAAGGACTGTTGTATTGTCATAGGTACTGGCAGGAGTGTCTCTCCTTGAAGTCTGCAGATCAAGGAAAATATTCACTTAACTAAGACCACAAATATCTCAGAGAAAAGTGATAAAGTTTGAAGCATGTAAACACAGCTTTTGTTTTCTCTCAGAGATGTGAGAGCTTAAGTCTGTTTTGTCAAATCCATCACCTCCTCTCTTATAGCGCTCCGTGGGCTGAGGCGTCATGTAAAAACAGGAGATAACCTACACGTGGATGTCAGTGTAATTGTTTTTGGCAAGCAGCGCTGTCTCTGTTGTTGTCAATGTTACAGTGACGTCAAGTTTTGGGGTTTTTTTAGATCTGAGCACCGCTGAATTTCCCCCCCTCATGATTATTACTGTCAACAAGTTAAGAGAAGATCCCAGAGCTGGCTGCAAGTCCTGGAATAGCATCGGTATTTGCTGGTCTCTGTGTTGTTAGGGTTCTGTCAGGGGCCAGGTCACGCTGTCTGTTCCCTGTGTGAAACTGAACTTTAGGTAATGATGTAATGACCTGCTCGGTTTTCGTCCATGCTGTGTAACCCAGGTGGTGTGAAGCCCTGTGCGCTGAACTGCTTGGCAGAAGGCTATAACTTCTACACTGAGCGGTCTCCTGCTGTCATAGATGGCACCCAATGTCAGGCTGACTCGCTGGACATTTGCATCAATGGAGAGTGTAAGGTAAGGGAGCCAAAACCACATCTTCAAACACTTCTTGTGTTTTACAAATGTATTTTTGATTCTCATTATTGAAGGATATGCAGTTGTTACAACAAACTGTTGTTGCTCCTGGCACTGGATGTATTAAATATTAAATATCTTTATATTTACCTAACCGCATCAGTGAGGGTCATGCATGAAAAATCAACCAGTGCCTCCAACTTGACTGCCTTACAATCAGCTGTTTGTTTGTTTGTTTTTTTTCTTTGCACATGACAAAAACTAAGATTGTGGCTTTGGCTTATGAGTTTATTTAAACATAAAAAATAGAGCTTAAAAGTTGTTTTCAGTCCAGGAAATTTCATGTGGCTAGTTTGAGGAAATATTGATGTAACTATGAGGAAGCTATGAGGAATCAACAATGCAGGGTAAAAAAGCCTTCTTGCTGTGAGGTGACAGCTCTAACCACCGCTCCAGCTGCTTTGTAATTATTGGACTTATTGTGTCTATTGTGTTTTTCAGTTAACTACATAATCAAACAACTGTTCTCTTAATAGTTTTTTAAGTAAGTAATTTTTGAGGAAAAACGTTAAGCACTAGGTTTATTATCTAGTTAATTAGAAGTTATTACTTTTTTGTCTTATGTGATTATGAAAATAGTTGTTTTTTTTTTTTTATTTGTTGATATTCTGTAGACCACTGACTTAAAGATTAATTAGCAAAACCAAGTTGTTAGCAGCAAGCATGCTGTAGTTGCACACCGTTTTGTAATTCAGTGACATTCTGAAGCCTCTGTTTTCTTAAAGTAGGAATTTTCTCGTGACAAATGGTTAACAGGTTTGCATTTACATGCAGTAAAGCCTTAGGCTAATCAGTTTCCCAGCTTGGTAGAATTGATCAGCCTTACAGCATTCACTTTACTATTTCTTCTGTAATTAGCTAGCTTGTCAGCATGCAGTTACTGTAGAAGTCCGTGTCTGTTTAGTTTTGCATTTACTTAGAATGCATGTTTCTGTGCAGACCACAGTACAACTGGGCGGGCTGAAATTTATTGAGAACGTAAAGTGATACACAAGCCTGATTAAAATATGCAAAAGCCCATATTTGGCCAGCATTAAGTTTCAAATATGTGCCTTAAAGGAAGGGGAATAAAAAAAAGAATTATTTAGCCCTCTACTGCATGACTTTTTAATTTTTGGGGAAAAAAATTTCTCCCTATTTTGGGGGAGCTTTAGGGTCCCTAATAATATATCAATCATAAAATTTGAAACAACACCCACACACGCGCGCGTTGTGTCACTTTTGGGGACATTACATAACTAACATTCATTCCTGGAGACTTATCCTGACCCTACCATCACAAGTCCCTGCCTGAACCTAACCCAACCCTGACCTTATCCTAAACCTAACCTTACCCTAACCCTGACTCAAGCCTTCACCCTAAAATTTAATGATTTACCTTGCAATTTGTCCCCATAAAGTAGGCGAGACCTCACAATGTGAGTGTGTAAACAGATTTGTGTCCCCACAACAATAAGATAATACACACACACACACACACACATACTTTACCACGACCACACACACACCCACACACACACACACACACACACAAATTACTTTACCAACTGACCCCTGAGCTCCTAAGTGTCCCTCAAACTTCTGATTCAGCGATCCACTCCTCTACTTCACTGTCACTCCCTGAAAGCTCACTGTCCTCACTTTCTGATTATTAACTCGAAATTTGGAGAAACATAACTTGAAATTTTGAGTTACTTGAAATTTCGAGTTAGCTCTGCCATAGGGCTGTGCGATATGACCCAAAATCTCATATCCCGATATAAGATATCTATCGTTCGATAACGATATAAATCACAAAATTTTTGCATTTTCTGTAAATTCTGTGAATCTCCGGCAGCTCAACTTGCGTGAAGTGAGCGTCGTGTACCTGGAGTCGAGTGTTTTAACCGATGCATGAAACTATACATTTTTAGACATGAGTTGTGAGTATTTATTACACGGCGTGCTGCGGGGAAAAGCCTGTTCTAACGTTTGAGTCTAAGGTTTATTTTTTAGCACCTGACGGCTCTTTTTTGCTTCTCATCTGTAAATACTCTGAATCATGTGAAAGAGTATGCAGAGTATTTTGTAAAGTCTCAACAGGATCTTGAGCTTTATTGTGAAAGGTTTATGTAGAAAATAAACAAGCGGACACACGATGGTTTTACTGTCATTGTTGCTAATGACAACGCATAAAAACAGGCGCTTGTCCGTCTGTAGTGTGGTTATATTAAATGTAAGACAAAGAGAGAACTTAGAAATGAATATAGCCACTACAGTGACCATCAAAACGATGAAAAAATGTTGCCGTAAACAGTTTATTTTGCGTCACCATGAAACTAACGATAGCGTAAAATGAAACGATAGACGTTTTTATATCGTCATCCGATATATATCGTTATATCGAACAGCCCTACTCTGCCAATCAGTAATCTACGTGAATGAGGTCACTTTCTTGTTACCCGGAAGCATATGGCGCAGAGTAGTGCGCACTCAAAACCGGATGGCATTAAATGGGCGCTTTCGCGAGTACGTTTGCTGATAGTAACGCCATGTGGTTCGGCTAATAACACAAGGATTTCATCATTTTTGAAGCCACGCTGAAAATACTCAGCAATCTGTGCATTCATGACTGGATGTAATACCGGTAGCTTAGCTGTAGCATTTGCACCTGAGGGTACAACTCTGAGTAGCTCCTGATGCATTCATGTTAATGAGACATGTTATGTAAAGTGTGTGTTATGTAAAGTGAGTGCTCAAGTAGAGTAGAAAAGTGCTATAGAAAACCAGTCCATTTGCCATTAAGGATGAATCAATACTGTGAATCATGAGGAGTTACTCTAGTAGCATCAAAGAATCAAAACAAGGAGATGGAAATGTTTTTAATATGTCCCCTTTAAAGGTTGCAGTTTGGCAAGCTTTGAGGTCCATGGTAAAGCAGCAGATATGAACTAATAAGTTGTCAGGGAGGATTTCAAGTGAGTGTAAATGTAGAAAGAGGACTTGAGGGGTTTTTTGGCTGCACAAGTAGTTGACCTCGAAGGGGGCACAAACTCAGAATGTTTTCACTGTGCCTCATAGCTAATCTGGCTAAACTGTACATTTCTTTAATTGTTGCGGAAAGCTTCTGGCTTGTGTTTCAAGACTTTTTGGATGTACGTTTAATGGAATTATGGCAAGAGCTATAAAAATAAAACTCAAGTTTTATTGAACTGTAGAAAGAGTTTGAGACCCAGTGATGTTTAAATCTAGAAAGACTGACTCTAAACATTACCATTACTTCATGTTGTAGTCAAGAATGAGCTTTTACCTTTCAATTTGATTTTACATTCAGAGCTTTTCATTGCAATTCTAATATTTGTAGTCATACATAAATATGAGACGACTTTGTGGGTGTTTAACCCTGACATTTTATCAAGTTCCTGTTAAAATGACATTTTATCTCTTAGCTTAGTAAGAGTTTGCTCAGCATGTGAGCCAGTTTTTATCTATAACAACTCTGCTAGTGAGATACTGACTGCGTAAACAAAAGAGCCTAAACTGCACCATTCTCCAGTGAAGAACAATCCGGTCTTTGACTGTGGCTGATTGTGATCGAATGACTGCTGAATAGCTCTTTTTGCTTCTTATCAGTACTCTGCAGCCTCCACCAGAATTGTTTTGTGGTAAATAAAAACACAAAAATCATTGTTTTGTTTTTTTTATTGAATAATGAATAATATATATATATATATATATATATATATAATATATTATATATATTATATATATATATTATATATATATATATATTATAGATATATATATATATTATTTTTTTTATAATATATATTATATATATATATATGTATAATAGATATATATATATATATATATATAAAATATTATATGATGAAAAGGCTGATTTAATAACAAGGAAAATAACATTTTATCTTTTCAATAAAATGTTTTATTTGGGTTGCAGTTGATGCTGTCTTTGTTTTCCTGACTGTAAATCATTTTGTGTAGTGAGTGTGTATTTTCTTAGATGCAGCTGAAATAACTTTTTGGTTGCTCACTTTAAAGTATTTGCTTTGATTTCCACCTGACCGATACAACTGGATCCCTGTTTGGCATAAAAGCACAGCGTCTTTGCCCACAACCTTACTGCGAGTCTAATATTAAAAACACAACATGATGTGTGCTTTAATAGCAAGAAAACTCAGAAGAGGTGGAATATTCCTCGCTGAAGGAGTATTGTGGGTTTTCTGAATCCGGCTTGTCGTTTTATTTCAGGGGCTGGCTCTCTGTGGGTTTACTGTCACACTGTGATAAATCTCTGGAACACTGTCTGCCTGGAAAGATCTCAGAAACACTCAAAACTGCTATGCTGTGCACATGTGGTGGGAGAGAGAGAGAAAGGGAGGAGGAACGATTACGAATAACATTGGAGATTGTGACAGAGTAAAAAAAGAACCTAGGAAACCCACAGGACAACTGTAAGGATCAATGACAACGAAATCCGTCTGTAGTCATCAGGTTTTGTGTCACTGCTGCTCTCAAACCCTGGTCAGCTGATATTTTACCCTCTTTTTAATCAACATAAATGTCCAATAACTCATCTGTGGATGTTATTTCAATAATTGCAGTGAGTTTCTCATCTCAAGCTGGCAGATCAGGTGTTCCTCCACCCGCTTTCCTCTTTTCCTCCTTCCTTTTTTCCAAATCAACTTGAATGTCAAAATTTTTCCCTCTTTAGTTGTCTGTGTCTCATGGGACACAACATTGACTGTCTTAGTTATTGTAGCCTGAGCTCTTTTTTTTTTTTTTTTTTTTTGTAACTGTCGACTCTCCTGAGGAAACACTTTGGAAAGCTACGCCTTCTCTGGCTTCCTCCTCGGAAGCTTAATTATTTTAGTTTCTTTAGTTTCAGTCATAAACTCTCCTCCCTTTTTTTTTTTTTTTTTTTTTTTTGGAGTAGGCTTCGCTCTTAGAACAGCTTATCTCAAGATCAATGTATTTTCTTATATAGAGTAATCAAGGCGTGACATACTATAGATGGCAGATGATGGGCAGCTCTGCCTCAGGCATTGATAGGCATTGATTAAAGCTGTGTGTGAATAGATGAATGACACGTGTTAGTAAAAGGTGCTTTGAGGGGGGAAAAAAAGGGCTTTGAGTGCTTGGAAAGTGCTATGTCTGCAAGCCTGCCGAATTTAGAGTGATTCTAATTCCCTAACATCACACAAACAAGTAGTAATCTTGCTTGTGCATGTGTACAAGTTAAGAGCATTTCTACACATATACAATATTCATCACTGCATGATAGTTGCAGCGATTTACTGAAATGTGCAAATAAATGGAAATACAGTATGTAAGGCACAAACAGAGTTTGTACAGTTCAAGGAGTATTTGGGGAATACCACCTTTATTCTTCAACACAGCCTGAACCTTGCTGTAGACATTTGTACGTCTCTCCTGGCTTCCTCTGTAAATATCGATTTGAACCGAAGAAATGTAAATTTGGATTCAATACTCCATAGGGCCCACTTTCACAGATTTTCAGACCAGTTCTTGTGTAATTTAGCATACCTTAGCATTTTCACAATGTTTCACTTCCTCAACAATAGCTTATTGAGAGCCACTATTTCCAGTGACGCTTTGGCAAACAGTAGATGGATCAGCTGAACGGCCAGATGTATCTCTCAGATGCTGTTAGAAATAAATCAACAAAGATGTGATGTCTTTTTCCTGTTTCTTAAGGGCATGACTTTCAGATAATGCTCATCTACTGTAGACATTCTTTTTTTAATCTGCAATATGAGTGAACTGATGCACTGACACATAATTACAGTTACTAATGTAAACTTTAGGCTACCACACTAACACAAAATCACTAAGCTAACACCGTTCAGAGTTCTTCGCTAATAGCTTTGTCTTTTTGTCTTTGCAAATGTTCTGCCAGCACCAGTGAATTCTTTCTGATGTGGACAGTTTGCACTTTATGGCTTTATCCTTGTGTGTAACAAAAATGAAAGTAATTTTCATAAAGCTGTCAGTGCTCTCAGTTCTCTAAGTTTAAGTGCTGCATTCACATTTTTATGGAAGTAAATATACGTGTAAAATGTAAAATTGATGTTCTCATGTAAAGTATTAGCAGTAAGCCTGCAGTTCTTTGCATAATACTGAAATGCTTTAGAACTAACCATCAACAGACAGTACTACTGGCACTGTAGCCCTTAAAGGCCTTTAAATAATAGTAAAAAAAAAAAATGACATAATGAAAACCTTAAGTCAAAACCTACTGAACACCAGCAGTCCTTCTGTGAAGCTCCAAGGCATTTCCAATCAAGCAATGAAGCAATCACTGCAAATTGAGCACAGATAAAAAAAAATTAATGGGGTCCATAAGGACTCCATATAAAAAGTTATTTGGAGCCAACACATTTTATATCTGTTAGACTGGCTAGTTTCAGACTCTGAATCTGGTAGCTTAATAAGCTTCCCTCTGATAGAAAAAAAGTTACAGCTATTAATGCTAACTTGACTAGGATTGGGACACTGAGTAAAATGAATATAAACAGTCCATTTTAAATTATCTTTGGCCCAGAGAAGACAATAGCCCTTCTAGCTCATGTTCACATATGGATGATAGAGCTTTAACCTGCGTTTGTAGACGGCACTGCAAACTATGTTAACAGACAATGATTTCTGGATTTAATTTCTATATCAGAATCAGGTTTTTAATGTAGTGCTGCCTGAAGGCCAAAGATCGCAGCAGTCCAGTACTGACTTGTCCCTTGCACACAGAGATTTCTGCAGATTCTCTGCGACTTTTGATGATTTAGCTAGTCTTAGCAATTTTATGTTGAAGAGCATTATTCTTAAATTGTTCCACAATTTGTCAACATAACTTTTTGTAGATTGGGGAATCTCTGCCTATCTTTACTTTTGAGTAAGACTAAGATGCTCTTTTTATAAGTATTCATGTTACTGATCAGTTACCAATTAACCTCATTAGTCACAAAGTGCTTCTCCAGCTGTTTCCTTTTAGTTCCACTTTTTTTCCTTCCCTTCATTGCTCCCTTCCCAACTTTGAGATGTATTATTGCCATCAAATTTAAAATGAACTAATATTTTTCATGAACTAGTAGAATGTCTCAGTTTAAATATTTGATGAGTTGTTTTTTTTTTATGTTCTACTGTGAAAAAAAATATAGGTTTATAAGATTTGTAAGTCATTGCATTAAATATCTATTTACATTTTTTAGAATTGGATTTGTCAAAAGTATTTTGACGGATTTTGGCAGATTTTCAATGTAAAGAATGAAGATTTATACTCAGTATACAGGCACTGTGTGTCCACTGAAGCTCCCTAAAAATAAGGACTACTCTTTGCATGGGCCTATGTGAATACTGTATAAATAAAGTACGGCATTGTATTCTGAGGACTTCCTTCAGGAACAAACAAATTCTTTCCAAAAAACTCCCCCACAGTGAACATGTCAGTCATGTCTTACTATTTCTTTTAAAGGGAAGGTTTTATTGGCTTTTAAGCAATCGTTTGACATTTGGGGACATTTCTTTGTTTGCCTTTTTCTTAAGTGTTAAATGCTGACGTTTGATGCTACCCTTATGATGTTACTGTACAATGATACTGTACAGCTGGTGGCTAATTAGCTGAGCCAAGCATGAAGCCTGGAAACAAAAAGAAACAACGCTGGATGTGTAATAACTAATGAAAATATTCCTACTACAGTCACACAGTAGTGCTTTGTAGTTTGGTAAATAACACATTAAATCTGGTTGGTTTAACCTTTACATAATGCTTGCAAAACAATATTTTTACACCACTTTTTGGAGCTTAAATAAACAGTATAGCTTCATCAAATTAACTTTAAGGGCAGTGTTTAGTGTATTTTGTTACCTTTGAACAGAGCTGGATAAACAGACTCCGGACTAGTGTAGATGCACCTAACTATGATTTAATTATTACCTGACACAATAAACTATTATTTCCCTTCATGATATAGTTTAGCACATAGCTATATTTCACAAAAGGTTGAACTATTTTTTTTAAGACATAAAGCCTGTTTTCTGGAATGTAACCAGTTGATCTTTGAAAAAACTTTTTAAAATGTAAAATAGTACAAAATAAAGCAAACATTTAACCATTTTTCTAGTTTTCATTTAAAACGATGCTGATTCTCAATCTCTAACTTTGTTCAACTTCAAAAGCATGTTGGCTGTGACAACATACTGGGCTCAGATGCCAAAGAAGACCGATGCCGTGTGTGTGGAGGGGATGGCAGCACCTGCGAGGCCACAGAAGGACTCTTTAACAAGTCTCTACCCAGAGGAGGTAAAACATATCTGATTCCAGAAAGTGTTCTTTAGTCTGTTTAAGCTGTTAAAATTAATCACACTGAGAAAAGTTAAAAAACATAAAATAAATTTAAAAAAAATTGGTGATTGATGTGACTGTTACTGCATGCAAACACACAATATGGGAGTCACTGTATGTTTCTATACAGCAAAATGCAGTCGTATCTTGGTACAATTAAAGGACCATGCCAACTGTGCATTGTCTGCTAGACTCATTACCCAGATGTTATCAACCCCCATTAAGTGTAATAGGTGTGATGAAAAAGTGGTATGCAAGATTAAGTTCAATCGAATATACACCCATAAAGTAAATGATTAATTTATAATTTAACTTTCATTATGGTTGCATATTTATATGCATTAATTATTTCAATAACATGTTCTTGACAAAAATGCATACAATGACTGAAAAGATGCGTTTTTAGGCTGGACTAAGTCACATGGCTTAAAATTAATTAGCCTCAGATACATTTACACAGTTATTTGTTGAACCTCTAGGTCTCTAAGAGCAACAAACTTCAAACCTTAATGAGTCAAATGATGTGTTATAATATTGATACTGTAAACATCACAATTTGTTGATATCAAAAATGGGTAAGTGGTATTTTAGATGTTGTGAAATTAAAACGATAGCATTCTTTTACAAGGTGTTATACACAAGAAAATGAGACAAATGGTCATTGGGATCATTATGTCATCATAAATGTACGTGTGTGCCAGTTTTGGTGGCTCAATTACGATTTGTCAAGGAGCAATTTTGGACAAACAGCGAGGTTCCACAAAACTAAGTTCCACAGAATTCAGCTTTTACTCTTAAAGTTGTTTAATTTTCATTTATTTAATTAAATCTGGTCATATTTAATCAAAATTAGCTATTGTTAGCTATTGTTTCAACATATCAGCCAACAAAACGAGAATATGGAATATTCATTGGATGATTGTGTAGCTACAAACTTTTACCTTAACCAGCAGATCACTTCTGTCTCTCTTGATTTTACAGTAAGTTACTGAAAGGGGGCAAAATGCAGTTTATACATGTAGAATATGCAGAAATGTCTAACCTCCTGTGACAAATTTAAAGTCGGTGGAGATTGTCCAAATGCCAAAACATCCTTCACGTAACAAAAAAAATCTTTCATCACCATGTGATTTTTTTTAAAAATTGTTTTTTAACATGGCAAATGTTTTGAGCCACCTAAAATTATGATGACACATCTAAATGCAATACTTTTCTCATTAATCAGTGAAGGAATGAAGTGAAGGAGTCACTAGCAGAGAAAGGGACTTGGTGCTGATTGTGGTCTGAGGTAGTCTATAGTGAGCAAAAGAGAAAACATATTTCTCCTTCTATGGTATGGCTAGTAAACCATCTAAAAATACTGTGTGTGTGTGTGTGTGTGTGTGTGTGTGTGTGTGTGTGTGTGTGTGTGTGTGTG